TTTTCTCTAAAATTAGAAAATTGAGTCTGACTTTCCAACTCGTGATATCTACTTTTTAAATTTACCGATTCCAGTGCTTTGCATTTGTGAGTAAATGTAATGTGACGACTTCCCAGTGTACTTGGCAGTGTACAGAAAGCAAATAATCTAAGTCGAGGAATTCTAAGCTGTTAAAACTTGGCCTCTATTTTCTGTAGACTAAGGAGGTTTAATGGGCTTATTGTGGATCACAAATTCTAAAAGTGCACTTTTATTTTAGTCTTTTGCATGTCAGGCCAAGGCACTGCACTTTTCAACTGTAACAGTTTGTTGTGTCCAATTGTTCACTGTGTATACTTAGGAATCAATTCTCTGACAGTGTTTTTGTACTGATGCAGTGGTGTTACTGTTAGGTTTTTTCTAAAATCGGGAATGCGCGCATTTCGTGAATCGCGCTGCTAAAACCGCGCGTTATCTGCGGCAGAGAAAGAATTATGTCAATTTTGCATCTTGAGCTGGGAACTGTGGCAGCCCTTTGTCGTCCTGGAGTTGTTAGTCTTTCGCTGAGTTGGCAATACTGGCGGGCTGGTTGCCTTGTTTTGACGTTGGCAGCCGCGGGGTGCAGCCGGTTGGCAGCCTTTGGCGTCATGTGGGCGAGTGCTTCCCCTCTCCCGTCCCTCGCCGCGAATCGATAGCAGTCTGGGGGGAGTGCGGGGGTGGGGGGTAGAACCAGGGAGGAAGAGAAGGGGTGGATGATCCGAGTTGGGGTTGCTCTGTGCAGGCAGCCTGTACACACTGAGGCTGTGCGCCCACGGGGTGGGGGGGGGGGGTAGATCACCTCTTGGTGGGTTAGGTTGCGTGTAAAGTACTTTAGACAGTCCAGACAGCATTGTAGGGTGGCGTTGTACTTCTATTTATCTATCCCTGTCCGTACGATATTATCAACATCTTTGTTTTGGTCCCCTCTAGCATCTTTTCAGTCTCGTAGAGAAATGATAACCTGCAGAAGTATGTGGAACTTCTTCTAAGTCTTTCTGTTGTTGCAAATAATTTACTATGTAGAACGTTTTTTTTTGTGACAGGATGGTCCATCCTATTTTTGACTACTAACTAGTTCTCTACTAACTTGTGTACCTGGTAAAATTACCTTAGATTGTGATGATAGTCTATACGTTGATGGTTTATCTCGATGAAGTTGTAGGATCAAGTCCTTTTGTGCTGTAAATATGGTAATGGTAGCATTGGTGGTGTGATATTCCCCGCCCCTTTTCCCCTCTACCTCCGTTCCCTCATGTATACCACCACCCCTCATTCCCAAAGTCTGTTTTATCCATGAAACTTTCTGGATAAGTGTAGGCACCCTCCATACCTCCCTCCTCCCTTCCTGCCCTCTGAAGTAAGAACGGAACTTGGATCAGCATCCTGGCCACCTTCTGCTCAGACTTGCCCTGGAAATTTGAAAAGTGCCTAGGGTCTCTCCCCCTCCCCCGTCCCCCTTTCCCCTCTGTCGTGTTTACCTTC